GCCCCCCGCCCCGCCCCAGGCCGTGCTGCCCTGCGCGCCCAGACCCGGCCCGAGCAAGCCCCGAGTGGGAGCTGAGGGTTGGGGTGTCTCTGTGGCAAGAACAGGCTGAGGGAGTTGGGCCTGTCAAACATGGAGAACAGAAGGCTCCTGGAAGACCTTCTTCTGTGTGGTCTTTCAGTGTTTAAAGGTGGCCTCCAGGAGAGGGAGCTTTTTACAAGGGCCTGTAGCAATAGGCTGAGGCATTTGAACTGAAAGAGGGTAGATTTAGATGAGCTGCAAGGAAGAAATTCTTCACTGGAAGGATGGTGAGACACTGGAATAGGTTATCCAGAGGGGTTTTGGGTGCCCCATCCCTGGAAGTGCTGAAGGCCAGCTTGAATCAGGCTTTGGCCTGGTATAGTGGGAGGTGTCCCTGCCCAGGGCAGTGCCTTAGAACTAGAGGATCTTTCAGGTCCCTCCTAGCCCAAACCAGTCTATGATTTGATAAAATCTAGAAATGCTTCAAGTGCTTGACCACTTTGAAGCAAGGTCTGTTACAGCTGGGGCGGAAGACAAACGTCATATACAGGGAAGTTGGAGAGTTCACAACAATGCAGTAGAGAAAAAACTTAATATTTCTACACATTGGCTGTTTCAGAAGGATTAGGACATTTAGCATCTACCATTGGGAAAATGATCACTTTTGTATCTGTTGCCCTGATGAGTTTATATATGTAGGTATGGACATGTTCCAGTGTGTATGTCTATAAATATGGCTGCAAGATAAACACAGAAGGTGTTCAGCATCTTGTAGTTTCAGTCTTTCAAGGCTTGGTTGAATTTTCTTGTCTTCATTTGCCATAGTTAACTGTAAGATTAGTGTTGCATCATGGAGAAGATAATCCTGATGACAGAAAACTTAAACTTTCAGATAATTGAAAACAGAAGATGGAATCTATGGGCAATGTATAGTAGGACTGATTCTATCTGCACGTTCCTCCCTGTGTGTATGGAGCATATTTCTGTGTAACTAGAAAGGAGCAATTCTTGGCAAGTAGTGTTGGGATGAGACCAGAACAGGTTCACTAAACTAAAACTCATCTTGTGTTATACACACAGAAATATCCTGGGAAAATAATAGAAAGATGGAAAAAGTATTTAATGGCCTTTTGGGATGACAGCTGTGCGTCTATTATATAGTTACACAAGTTTTAATATGAGGTGTAGGTGAAGATATAAAAAGAAAGCATCGGTTTAAGGTATTTTAACTTGTCATTAAAAAAGGAATTCCTGATATGTGGAACTAAAATGGACTGCAAAAAGGATTTGAAAGCGAACTTGGTACAACAGTAAGTTTTTGTAGTCAGTTCAAGTCACATTAGCTGGAATAGTTGGCAGTTTTCAACGTCACAGAAGACTCGGCAAATAAATTTGGTTTCCCCTCATCGTGGCACTAAACAGGAGAAGACTTTCTCTCTTTAAGCTTCAGATGGTGCTACAACCTTAATCTTATTCTATTTTATGTTGTGCTGCATGTTGTCTTTGCCAACTGGTTTGTATTTCTAAATAGTATTCTGCATAATTCACCTTAATCCTTTAAAAGCAGGTATTTCAGAGGTAACTAGCATCCCTAAATAACTAAACCGAGAGGTATGTAGTTCTGCTCTGGATGCAAATTCACCCCAGTCCGTAAGTGACCTTAAACTAACATTAGTAACCACTAACTGGAAAGCTAAGGGAGCTCTTTTTCTGGACCATTTACATTTTAAAAGGACCTCTGAAAGGCATTGCTCAGGTCTGATGTATCTAGTAGCATCAGCATTCAGAGGCAAGATACGGCAGCACACAGTCCATTGCTCTGAATCCAGATCTTATTTGGCTGCTTTTGGTATGGATGGCAACGGATGAATCTGAAACAGAACCGAAATGGTTCCATTTTAGGAATGGCTTCCGCTGTTCAGAAAGGAGCACGAGGAAATAAGCAGATCTGAATTGCAGTGATTGACATGATAAAGAGCCTAGAAAGATTTTCTGCAGCTTTCTGGCGTCTTTAGATACAGCTGGGTATGTTGGTAGTCTAAAGATAGAAAAGACAGAGGATGAAAGTAGTCCAACAGAATACATACCAGTCTTCTCTCATTAGGAACTGGATGTAGGAGATAGAGGTAAGTGCTGAATCTCTCTTTTTTTTTTTTTTTTTTTACCTTTTAATACATTCTTGTAGTTCACAGGCTTGCAAGGGAGAAACAGTCAGTAAAATCTAAACATAAAGCTTCATAAACTGGGTTCCCTGGGGTTCATCAATTTACACCTATGCATCCTGTTAAGTGCAAGAGATACCATTATTGAGAACCTGATTTTGCCATGCCCCTACCCTAACTACAAGGGAAATGACTGCCCTTCGTGGAGAAGAGTTGATAAAATCATGTCTATTAAGTGCCTATTTGCTGATAACACTCTTATTTTTTCATTTCTTAGCAGTAGAAGACAGGAAGTTGTTTATTGGGATGATATCCAAGAAGTGCAATGAAAACGATATCCGAGTGATGTTCTCCCCCTTTGGGCAGATAGAGGAATGCAGGATACTGCGGGGCCCGGACGGCCTGAGCCGAGGTGAGCAGGAAGCTTTTCCCGCAGCTCAAAGCCTCCTCTGGATGCTGCCTTTTGCAAGTCAGGGTGGCCTTTCAGCTCTGCCTGTGATTTCCACATCCCCCTGTAGGCGTTTTCCTGTCTTTATTCACCTCAGTAACTGCAGATGCAGTGAATGACTTCGTTGCTTTCGGTTCTTTACCCAGGTTGTGCATTCGTGACTTTTACAACAAGAGCCATGGCACAAACAGCAATCAAAGCAATGCACCAAGCACAAACTATGGAGGTAAACTGAGTTAGTGGCTCTCAGGAGAAGATGTGATTTGTCAGGCAGTCGCTGCGGAGTTGGGAGGACTAGAGAGCGGAGGGAAGGATAAGTGCAGTGTGTTTCTTCTCAAATGCTGCTTCTGGACCTTTTTGTTTGTCCCTCTGCTATTTTTAGAGCTTGAGATAGATACTCCTTCTGCAGAGAAAATACTGAAATAGACAATAGAGTTAAAAGCTAGTGAGATTTCGAACCTTTAATGATGTACTGATGGAATCTGTGTGTGTGTGTGCACGTCTAGGGAGGTGGGGCAGAATGTTCCCAGTGACTGGGTCTCAGCACAGTGGTTTTGTGGCTGCTGGGGATAGCAAGCGTGTAATTGTTTGATTTGCTGTTTGCAGGGTTGCTCTTCTCCCATTGTGGTGAAATTTGCAGACACACAAAAGGACAAAGAGCAAAAACGAATTGCTCAGCAACTCCAGCAACAGATGCAACAGATCAGTGCTGCCTCAGTATGGGGAAACCTGGCTGGTCTCAACACACTTGGACCCCAGTACTTAGCAGTGAGTTTCTGATTTGGGCTCTTTTCTGTCTCTTCAGGGATTGCATTGTCTGTCTATCTGGTAATGTTTAATGTGCTCGCTTCTAGAAGGCTCCTGATGGACAGGACCAGGGCTCTTAATCCCAGTTGTGTGGATGAGGAGGCTGAAGGTCTGTGCTGACACCTAGTCAGGATACCGAGAAGTGAGGATTTGAACCCCAGTCACCATTGTCTGAACTACTGAAAGAAAAAAATTCCCCGATGTCTTCTGTAGAAGGACTTTGTGCCAGGAATATTTTCTTACTGTGTAACAGCTTCATATCTACCTGCCTGAATGCCCTTTTCATGTGTATCTGACAACATAGTTTTTGTACGCCTCTTCCATTTTTCCTTTGTCAGCCTTTATTTTTCTCATCCCCTTTCAGCGAAACCTAGAATAGCACTTGGTGCTGTGTAAATAGAATGAGTGATGAGGGTGGAAGCACCAAGCAGCTGAAAGTGAGCAGTAAAAAAAAAAAAAAAAAAAAAAAAAGGCACAAAACAAACCCACCACCACAAAACCCCCAAAGAATATACAGAGACTACTCACTTAAGCAAAGATGACAGGACAGAAGGTAGTCTGCTTATTATCACTGACTTAGGTCATTTTGCCAGGTCCTTGAAGGGTGAACTTTTTGTGAATTGTGTGCTCTGGCTCCTGGGGGTTGCCGGAGTAGCTATGAGACAAGTATTGAAGCCACATAAGGTCTGGGAAACAGAAAAGGAAAACTTAAGCTCATTCTTGGTATGGTGTGCTGGTGAAGCAGGGGCGTACTCTCTTTTACTGCTGCTTTAGTCACTGAATGGAGAAAGGAATAGGAAATCTTTCTAAATAGCTTGTGAGCTGAGGCCTGAAGTTTCTCTCATGGCTGCTGTGCTTAAGGAAGGTGGAAGGGGTTCCCTCTCAGGGCAGCTCTCTGGTTTTGGCACGGTGTTTGCCATTTGGCCCGTGCTGGCAGCGCTGGCTGCAAAGCCTGCCTCCGGGGCGTCTCTCAGGGGGTGCCCGGGGTGCTCTCTGCGGGACTCCCCTTGCACCCCTACTG